AATTCATCTTGTATAGGGTGTAGGAAGTGGAAAAACGCAATATAGGGTGCAGGAAGTGGAAAAACGCAATTCTGAGCTGTCCATCTTTCTATAAGGAACCCAAATTCAGTTTTAAGGCGCTATCTCTCATAGTTTCCGAGATAATCGCGAAAAACGAAAGTGCCAAAAAAAATTAATTCAATTCATCTTGTATAGGGTGTAGGAAGTGGAAAAACGCAATATAGGGTGCAGGAAGTGGAAAAACGCAATTCTGAGCCGTCCATCTGCCTATAGGGAATCCAAATTTCCTCAGGAATCGAATGGGATAGGTTATGAGGCTCTAGCTCTCATAGTTTCCGAGATAATCGCGAAAACGAAATCACAAAAAAAAATTAATTTAATTTATCTTGCATAGGCTGTAGGAAATGGAAAAACGCAATTCTGAGCCTTGTATCTGCCTACAGGTAGCTAAAATTTCCTCAGGAATCGAATGGAATTGGTTTTAAGGCTTTCAATTCAAACCAGAGTTGAAGACCAGAGTTTGTAGCAGCGATGTCAGACAAGATATGAATGTTTTTTTGGGTCAAATGAAAAAGCGGCTCGAAAAATTGTGTGCTGATGCCTCTAAAGATGGTTTTGAACCAGGGGAGACTCCTAGACCCCACTGGACAATGTTGTCACAATTGCGCTTTTCAATTGAAAACAGACATCATCTTTAGAGACATTTGTCATCTTTAAAGACTTCTGCACGCCATTTTTCGAGCCGCTCTTTCATTTGAGCCCAAAAAAACATTCATATCTTGTCTGATATCTGTGCCACAAACTCTGATCATCAACTCTGATTTTCAGTTGAAATTGGAATGGTTAATTTACACAATAATAAGATTGCATTGACGATTTTTTCTTAACTCGCAAAAATCTTCAAACATTTTGCTATCGATTGGTGATAAATTTTTTTGGAAATAATGAAATAGGGAGAATAACGCCTTTTTTTTCAGGAGTGATTTTTCAAAAATTTATTTTAATACAAGTGCTAACTAGAAAATGTTTTTTATTAGCTCGCAATTTTCTTCAAAACTACTTCAATGAGGAAAAAAATAAAAATTTGGAATATCTATACATGAGGGGCTAATTGATCGGATCTAATCCCAGGGTCGCGTTTGGTGACCAGACTAGGGTTAAACTGTTTTACTGCTTCGCTACTGACTTGAATACACCCTTCACTTGACTGAAATAAACTTCATTTAATTCAAATGCATCTTTGTTCTGGTTGTATAAATAAGTTGGAAAATATCGCTGAACCTAGGGTATCTCTCTATATAATAAAAAAATTAGCCCAAAAATTCAGGCGACGCTTGACCGGCCCTGTGGCGACAGACGCGGCCCTGGGGCGACACAGATGTGGTCCTGGGGCCGACCTGACGTGATCCGAGTCGACCCGACGTGACCCGAGCCGACGTGACCTCAACCGACCTGACGTGACCTGATGTGACTCAAGCCAACCCAATCCTGACAGGTCACAGGGTGATTTTATATATATTTCTCTCTATATAATAAAAAAATAAGGGCAAAATTTAAGACAATTCAGGCGTCGCCAAAATTCAGGCGACGCAAAAATTCAGGCGACGCCTAAAGGTGGGGGNGTCCCAGGGTCAAACGCGGTGGGAGGGCTGACAGTTGGATTGGGGGGGAGCGGGGGGCGAAGCCCCCCGGGGTTGGCGAGCGAAGCGAGCAGGGGGCGAAGCCCCCTAGTCGCAAAATAATATAATAAAGCATTGGAATCATCTGATCTTGAAATTTTACTGCCAAAGTCGATCGATAAAATTTTCTATTCATAGCCAATTTATTTCACAACTGAATTCCAGATGAATTGAAATCTACGAAATTATACTTTGCATATCTTCAGTATCCGAGCATCGAATTCTACGGCTTATTAGATAAAAATGCCAGAAATAATCGAGAACTTTTATTGGCATTAGCCTGGCTCATCGGTATGCACAATGTTTTGGAAACTGCGATGAGGTTCAAACTGGTTGAGAGTATTTTAGGTGGAGAATGTGTGCAGAGCGGTGATTCACTGGTGAGTAGCGCGCGTTCAATATGTAAGTAAACAAGTGGTTCCTATTGTCATGGAAAATCCACATGAAATACTCAACAGAAACGTAAACAAGAGGAGAATAATGAGAACGAAAATGTGTCGTCAGAGCTGATCGATCAAATTCATTCGATCGTACACAAGTGCATGACAGTGAGTAATAATTTGAAGGACATTAATGAACTCATCTCTGAGAGGATTAAATCAACGAGTAAAGTACATGCAGCGTCTTCAAACAGCTGCGGACTCCCACATTTGAATGTACCGGAAATGAGCATCATTAAACAATTTGTGACGCATGAGGATAAATATTCAGAGCACAACGAAAAGAATCTTGTTGATTTACAGCGATTGGGAGTTATGCTTGAGACACATTCTATGTGGAGGAGAAACGAGGAAATTTTTTTCGATTGGATGGTGAGGGAAATTATATTGCGGGAAATTGGATTAAGGGCATCCAAGTACTTTGGCTATTTTTTCTCCAGTGAAATGCTTTTCTACTTTCAATTTAATAAAATGAAATAAACAATGAATTAATTAAGCTAAGCTACAAAGGAATTCAACTTTTAGTTTTATTATAGTTAGCGAATATTTTCGCAAGAAAAAAGTCCACAAAAATTTATGCTCAGGCCTTTTTTATGCAAGATTTTATGAGCCCCAAAAACAATTTTCTGATATTCCTCGCCAAACCCATTAGTCCCCAAGATATGTGCAGAATCCTCTGCATTAACATTTTAGACCCCTCCTTACCGTGACTCAACTCCTGACTCATTAATTTCAATTTCAGGGGACAGTACTCGAGGAGCACAAGCGAAGTCCAATGACAGAATTCTCCGAAAAGACTGTGGACGAATTTTCCACATTCATTTGCATTCTTCGGCACTTGACAAAGAAAAAAATCCACTCACTGAAGCATTCTGATGGCCTCGCTGGGGAAAACATCTCGAAGATTCCATGTACCTCCAGATTTTCAAGAACTCAGGAGAGAAACACTAATGCAAATCTCTGGGGTTCTGAAATTTCTCAACGACTCGAAGAAGAGCAAGCGAAAACCTCCGAAAAAATGAAGGAATTGGCATCAGAATTGAAAGCAATGCTCAAGTCAATTCCTAATTGCATTCAGATTTGATGTGAGATAAAATTGAACTGACGTTCATTTCAATATTGTAATAACACATCGTTAAATATTGGGAACGTGATATTAATGTTCGTTCAAATTGAGTTTTGCATAACATTTTTTATTATTGAAGGTGAAAACTAAATGAAAATTATAAGGTTCCGTGTCTTATTTTCCCTGACACTTTTTCCTCATGCCACTTCTTCCCTCTCTTTTTCTCCCTCCGACATTTATCCATACGTACGGACACGGTCTAAAAATTGTATTTTCGGACTTTTTGGATCATAATGAGTCGATATAACACAAACAATCAAAAAATTAAACTTTAACGATTACAGTGCTTCCACTCAGAAGCACAAAGACAAAAAAGAGGAATAAAGTAAACTCGCTCCTTGGTGAGATAAACGAAATAAATTCAACGATGAACAATAAATATTGGGCAATACTCTTTATTAAATAAATTACTTACAAGTCATCGCATGCAGGAATCGTGTTACTGAATCATTGGAATATCTACGAAACTCGTTTTTCTCTGCATAAATTAATACAACGATTAAATTTCATTTTATCTCTCCTACTAAAAATACAATAGACTTCATAGGCCGCCACTACTTAGAAATTCCTTAGAAATTTATTCTCTTGTATTGTTTGCTAATTCTCGTCTCTATGTACAAAATGAATTAATCAAGTATGCGATAGAAATTCATCTCGTTAAGATAATTGTTTCCTTCTTCCTCGTATTTTCTTTTTCTCCATTCATATATTTTTTTCTCCATCATCAATGCGCATGAGTGAGGCTGATAATGATCAACATTTCATTACTGGGGATTATAAGTATAAATTAATACAAATTGAGATAATCATCCTCGAACATATCACGAGGACTCATCTCACCGCCGCATCTCTGGCGTAGGCGTGCAATCCACATCCTACATAAACATTATTCGGATTATCACAGTCTGTGTATTTACAACTTAAATTATTTAAACCTAGTTCACTTAATTTTAGGTAGATTTTCTCGTCCCCTTTCAGTTGATGGTTCTTGGGAATTTATTATTTCGGGGGATTTTGTCTCTCTATCGTCATCGAGATCGACGGCCAGCATTTTTCATCGATTGGATAGGGCCTTTACCTCTTAAAGCAAGTGAAAAAAATATATTAATTGAGAATTGATGAGAGTGATTCGAAAGGGGAGGGAGATGAGTGCACAATTGAGTTTTCATCATCACGAATTTATGAACTGAGGATCTCCATATGTTTCTTTTATATTCCATGGTTGTAACAACTCATGATTAGTAGGAAAAAACTCATTGTTTATCGATATTTAGTCACGTCGAGGCCTGAAATGATGTAATCAAAAAAAAAAAAAATTCCACATAATATTCATCTGAAAATTGCATACAATATCAAGCCAAGTATTTCACAGAATTTTCAACTGGAAATTCCACTCCACGTTTAAGATTCCCTGGCTGAAGGCGCTTCACCCTTGCAACGAACAACCGGTGAAATTGGAAAATTTGTGACAAATTTCTTTGACTGAAAAATTCATGACAGTCACATTACATCTATTTGATTATGATTATCATGTCAGTCGATAGTATAGCCGAAATTGTGACGCCAAAAAAATTACGTCACATGACCGTCATATTTTTTTCACCTGACAGATTTTGACAACTGGGGTGGGCCGATTTTAAACATTCGAAATCTGGATTCGGGACACTATATTTTATTTTCATGAATATACATCCAATTCCTAACTTTTTCAATCAAAATCAAGTGTCTTCCTGTCGGAAAAACATCCGAATTGACTTCTAAAAACTGATATTTCACATTTGATGGGAAACAACGCGGATAATCCAATATTGAGGGGTGAGTATTCCTTAACTATTCGAAAACTGGTGCCATCATGGTAATTTAATTTTGAATTATTCCGCATTTCCAGTAAGTATTTCAAATTAATTTTAAAAAAATAATAATAGTTACGCTGTTTAGGAGTCAAATATTAAAAAAGCATTTGTTAATAATTTTCTGCACATTTCTTAGGGAAAAAAAAGTTTTCCATTTGAAAAATTGAGGCCCGGTTGCACCAGCTCCGGGTAACGAAAACGTCAGATAAAAAAAAAAGTAAATTTGGATGTTCGATGGATTATTTTACCCGGGAGAGTATCTCAAATTTATCCTAGGAACAAAAAATAAAATTTAATCCCAAGGTTAAATCAGTGTTAATTCAAATGAGACTACAGGATAAATAAAAAATTATTCTTCGGGTCAAATATTGAAATACTATGACCCCTAGGATATAATTGACCCCGAGGATGAATTTTTCCCTGGGATTTATTTGGATGACAGGGCTTGGTACAACCGGGCCTAAGAACAATTGCGATTAACAATGAGTTTTTTCACATTAATTATGCATTTTTGCACGCGTGAAATATAAAAAAAACACATGAGTATTCTCACTTCAAGAACCCATGTTTAAAACCGATAAAGTCTCCCCTTAACAAAAAATATGAATAGCCCTTTTTACAGAATATTTCAAGATTTACACAAAAGGTCTCTCGATATTTTGCTCTAAAGCTAATAGTTCGTGATATATTTCCAATATAAACGAAGCGATTTTGCACTCATCTCCTGCCACCGTTAAGATTTACAAAAAAAAGTTCTTAAACAAAACAAAAATCTCGTCGTTGAAATTTCCGAAAAATCGACATTGCCGGTAAAAATCACTCATCTGATATTGTCAATATGATTCAGAATGAATTATTTCAAGTCGATATGTAATTCGAACGGAAACTATTCCGATGTATCAAAGTACTCAAAGTCGTTCAACTAAAAAAGAAAAATGGAAATAAAAAGCATGTTTAAAAAAAAAGAAATACTTCTATCCTTAACTATCTCTCATCTACAAGTATTTACACAATGCCTCAGCGATCCTAATTACATACAACAATAGGCATTATCAGTGGAAACCGTGAATATTCGACTGATTGTACAAATTGACAAAAAATCGTTGTGTGAAACGAGTGAAGCCTCGATTCTGGATGAGATCATGGAGTCCAGTGTCCCCGGTAATTTAATCAACTCCAACAAAATTTCCATTGCCTCGATTTTCTCGCCTCCAGAATCTCGGATATTCGTCGTTTAACATCACTGGACAGAATAAATTAATAATCGTCGCAATCACAAAAACGAAAGAAACTCGTGGAAAATAATAATGTGTCGCTGAGTGGTCAAATATTAATTGCATCACTCGCACTATATCTGTAGTCGTGTAGTCAATAATTAAAAGAATACCGATCACATGTGAAGAGAAGAAAATTGTCAATTAGAAGATGATAGGGTTGAGAAGTGAAATAGTAGAAAAATTCTGGTTTGCAAATGACAAAATGTAGTTTTCATGTCAAAATCATAAATATCAATTTTGCATGCAGCTGAGGAGAGAACAAATTCTCAATCAAAATGAGAAATCATCAATCATCAAAAGAGCAATTCAGCCTGGTGAACGATTTCTTCTCCCATGTAGGGCGAATTGTCCAGTGTTCCAAACACTTTTTATATTTGAGGTATTCCACGCCAAATGAGTCAACCGCTGACTGTCACCCTCTTGGAAATTAATGGCGATTTTTTCTACGATTTTTTTGGGTAGCCCAGTTCGGAGATAGGATTTTTTTTCGTCTTTCCGTTTGTTTTTTTCAATAAAACAAGTTCTATCTATCCGATTTTGATTTATTAAGCTCCAAAATTTTTCATTTTTTACTGCCTATACGAATATTTTCAGTGATTTTTTTTTTCGATCTCTAGATCCTCATAAGAACGAATATTCGAAAAAAAAGTTGAAAAACTTGAATTTTACAAATTACGTACCGGTTGATTTGTTTTATTCCTTTCAGTAATTCTTATAATCAAAACAAGTATTTTGAGCCATCGTACAAGTTGGGCATCCTTCTGAAACTATTTTATTTTCAATTTTTTCTGTTCGAAGTTCCGTAAATATGGTCAAAACACCCTAAAATGGCATTGATTGACTTTGATTCTAGACAGTATGAAGTGAATTTGACTGCATACCCATATATTACATATTTATTCGATAAATAATCGAAGACGTTTTGGGAGGTTTTGACCAAATTTGCGCAATGTCGAAAAAAAAGATCCAGGAAGATGCCCAACTTGAATGACGGCTCAAAATACTTATTTTGATTATAGGAATTACTGAAAAAAAAAATTGAAAATCAACCGTGACGTAATTTGCAAAATTCAAACTTTTCAACTTTTTTTTTCGAAAGTTCGTCATTATGAGCACTTAGGAATCGAAAAAAAATTACTAAAAATATTCATATAAGTGGTAAAAAATGGAAAATTTTGACGCTTAATAAATAAAAATCGGACAAATCGAACTCGAGTTATTGGAAAAAATGGAAAAATAAAAAAAAACATATCTCCGAACTCGGCTGCCGAAAAAGTCTGAAAAAATTTCAGAGATAGATTTCAGCCCCCCCCCCCCTTGCGTAGAAAAAATCGCCATTAATTTCCGAGACGGTGAGGGTCAGCGGTTGACTAATTTGGCGTGGAATTCCTCATTTATTTAAAATAATTTTATAAATTTGAATGGAACTCATATGAATGTGGTCTATACGGTTTGACACTTGAAAGATTTCAATGTAATTTAAAAAATTATCTCGCCGAATTCAACGATTTCAGCTGTGAATAGTCAAAGCCTGGACAATCTCCCTATTTCCCTCAAAAAAGAAAAAAACAGATTTCAAAACTAATGATTTTCGGGACAGATGAATTGGACGTTTTTTCACCCTAAAGTATAATATTAAACTTTTATCGAGCAAAACCGAGGAAGTCCGTAAGCCTGTCGTTCCAGTCGTGGAGCCAGTGAGAAGGTCCATGTGTCGCTTGTCTCTGTTTACAAGGATTCATCTCCTTCTCCGGTGGCATGTACTCCTCACCCCTGATGCAGAAGTAACTCTTAATGGGGCTGCGACACATTGGACACCTATCCAATTTGCCAAAGCAAGAGGCACATATGCACGTGTGTCGACAGGGCAATAAGGCTCTCGATAATGGGAAATATTGGCAAACTACACACAACTGTTCACCCGCTGTGTTCCATAAAGAGCCCTCGGCATCACCAGCGCCAGATGCTACCAGAGCTCCTCTTGATGCTCCGCCGTTATTGTTGCAGGGCTCTGCCAGGGCTAGGGCTGGCCCTAAGCCTGACGAGACGTCACCCTCGTCGTAATTTGTTGAGTTTCCAGTTGCCAGGTATAATTGCTGGAATGACAATAATTTGGGTGAATCAATTGGATCGTGAAGGTGGAGGAAAGTATGGAGCACAGTATGGAGGAGAGTATGGAGTTGGGCGATTGGACTTTTTCATCACGCTGTGACGAAAAGTGAACTTTTCGGCACGCTCCGCGTGCCTAAAAGTCCAATTTCCGCCACATTGTGATGAAAAATATTTTTCATCACGCTGTGACGAAAAGTGAACTTTTCGGCACGCTCCGCGTGCCTAAAAGTCCAATTTCCGCCACATTGTGATGAAAAATATTTTTCATCACGCTGTGACGAAAAGTAAACTTTTACTACTCGCCTTCGGCTCGTGATATAAACCTCCCACTCGCCAAAAAACACTTTTTTGCACTCGTTACGAAATATACGAATTTAGGAGGCACAATAAGTCGGGAAGTTTCTGTAAGATTTTACTTCTTCGGGAAAAATTACGTGACAATTTTGTACTTTGTTCGGTGATGAACTTGAAAATTCACTGAAAATTTCAGTTTTCTTCTCTTCCATTCCTATAAAAATTCCCGGAAAACGATTCCCCATTGCGGATTACGTGAATTATTCCGTAATTTTTACTGAATATTTCTCTCCGTGCAAGAGAGCATCTCAAAAGCTTTCGAGTGTCGTAATCTCGTCAAGGTCGCGCGGAATCATCCAAATGAGAATGAAAAAATGAGTGAAATTACCAAATAAAACAGGTTTCTTGGGAACACTCACCTTCAAGCAGGACAGCTGGCCGTTGGCCTGTTTCAGATACTGCGCGAGAATTGAGGTCGGCAGTGTGCACACGCTATCTTTAATGTGCACGACATTCACCAGAGCGACCTATTGGGAAAAGAATAATGACATTTTCGGTGAAATTACCCCTGTGCATTTGCATATTATTTATTGATGCCCATTGGGAAATTTTCTGAATTTACTCACTGTCTCGTCTGGATGGGGATCTCTGTTGTCTTTTCGCGTGAGGAATATGACGAGTGGGTAGCAGAGTCTGGGAGGTGTTCCCAGCTCTAACTCGGGCGCTGGAAGTGACAGTCTCAGGGTTTCTTCACCGTGGGGTTGCCTACTGCAGTTAATGAGTCAAGGAGAACGTTGAGGATAATTTTGAATAATAGCGGAATGGTGAAAGTTTACATATTTCAAAGATCATTTTGTTAATATCTTTGGAGCTTGTGGGTTTAGGGAAAATGCTCAGAGGCGATTTTTGAAGAGGATTTTGAAGAATAGGAAAGAGTTCCTTTGATAAATGACAACTATCTTCAGTGGCAATTACAGGTGACTGCCAAATGGACTTGATGCTTATTTTGAAAATATCTTCGATGCTTTGGTCCACGAGAAAATGTCAAGAGATGGTTTTTGGAGACAATTTTGAGAACTATTAAAGAGATCATACGAAAGGTTTCTCGCCTTTCGGGCAAAATATTTGCGGAGTATCTGATAATTGCGTGATAATGAGAGAAGAATGTATTAGTTGATCCGAATCAAACTCGCTGTTATTTAAAAACCCAAATGGTGGATCCCTGTTTTGACGAATGTCTCTGGCCGCTGTCAGCTGAGTACTATTAGCACTGAGAATAAATCACAAAGGTTTAGCTCAGTTGCGGCCACTTTTATAAATTTGATACACTGTTAGAACAAAAATGAAATTTCATGGACAGTTGACTAGTAAATTTTCAGGACAGTGACACTAAATGATATGTAGGGGAAAAAATCATGAAATTTCAGGTTTCACTGAAAATTTAGTAAAATTCCAGAATTTTAAGCATCACAAACACGAGAATTTATTTATTTATTTGACTTTCCAATCTAATATGAATATTCAGTGCCAAATTACAGTGAATCTTCAGTGAAATATGAGATTCATGATTTTTTGGTTCCGAATGAAAGCTTTGTAATTGTTCAAAATTAAGTTTCCAAATTTTTGTGTCAGGGTAACTAAATATGGTCTAAAAGGTCTAAATATGCGATTTTCAGATGGTGTCTGTATGTATGTGTGTGTACTTTTTTTCAATTTTTGTTTTCGCAATTTTTTTTATAAGAGCTTGATGAAATTTCATGAATTTTTCCATGGATATAGACATTAATAGGCACTATTCACCGACACCAATTAAAGTTGAATTATTCATAGAGTTTGTGAAATATTGGTAATTTTTCAAAAATCGATTTTTCGACGCTCAGTCCAAGAACTGTTATCAGAATGAAATGAATCATGGCTTAAAAAATTTGTATTGATAGCCTCTTGATTCTATCAGAATATGATGTGGATCGTATCTATCACTGTTGAGCTACACCATATAGTTTGTGAGATTTTTTAAAATTTTCTTCATGATAAACTGGAAAAATTAACAGTCATATCAATGAAATCACGGCTCAAAAAGTTTTTTTGATGCTTTCTCGATGAAGTGCAAAGATGATGAAAACAGCATAACTATTTATTAAGTTGCATAGTATAGCAATATGAAACTTTAGGTCATATGGGGGGTCATATATGGGTTATATGGGGTCATATGGGGGTTATATGAGGTCATTTGGAAGTTATCTGAGGTCATATGGTGTCATAATGAGCTCATAAGGGATGATACCGAGTCATATGGGGTTCATATGGGCTCATATGGGGTTACATGAAGTGATGTGGGTTCATATGGGCTCATATGATATGGGTTCATATGAGCTTCATATAGGGGCTGTATGAGGTCATATTGGAGTAATATGGCATTATATGGGGGCCACACGGGGTCATATGGGTGTCACTATTCAAAACAATAAAAAATGAGAATAATGAATTTCAAAAATAGAGAGTCCATTCGGAAGCATATTGCTAATTTGTTAGCAACATAAACTATACCCATATACAGAAAATGCGATTATGCACTTGTTTCCTCCTAAATCGCAATTTAGGGTCACTGTCCTGAAAATTCAAGCATATAGTTACGGAAATTTTCTGGTTTTCTATTTATTTTCACGGAAAAATAGAACTGACATTTACAATTCTCTTTGATTTTGCCACGAAATTCTGAATTTTCTATTACGAAATTTCATGAAATGTCAGTGGTAATTAAATTCAATGCAAATTTCCAAAAAGTATACCGGAAATTTCAGACAAAATTTTTTAACAGTGTACGAAGAAATTCAATATCCAGCTTTGCATAACGTGAAATAATCAAGTTCATGTTTCTCCGAAATGTCACAGCAGCCGAAGCTTATAGCCAATAAAGCGAGAATTTTGTGAAATATGGGGGATCATTCAATGAATGTCTACACGTCTTCATTGCGGAGATATTTGTAGAGTATGTTCACTTACGTCGTAACGAGATGTGCATGTAATATGCAATATAAAACATGTATGATTGTTTTATAGCTTATTTCATCAATATCTGCGGAATGAGTGGATTCAGCGACGGGTCTAGAGGGAAATGTCAAAAGATGATTCTTAGAGAGGATTTTGAGGAGTAAAAAGGAGCCTGAATTGCTGTAAGCCTTCTCTGTGTGAGAATATTTGCACCACCATCTTTAGTGGCAATTACAGGTAAGTGCAAACTGGACTTGTTGCGTATTTTGTAAATATATTTCATCAAAGTTTTTAGGTTGAGGAGAAAATGTCAAGAGAGGGTTATAAAAGAGCCCATTCGATGAATTTATCTAGGTTTTTTCGCTATGAAGATCTTTGTGAGTAATGAGAGCAGAATTATATATCTATGATCAATTTGCATCTTATGAGGTCAATATTTTCGAATGAGTGAATTCAACGAGGGGTTTAAGGGAAAATGTCAAGAGATGAGAGAATATTTGCACAACCATCTTTAGTGGCGATATATTTGATCTTTTGGTTTAGGAGAAAATGTAAAGAGACGCTTTTTAGAAAGAATTTTTAGAACTATAAAAGAGGTCATTCGATGAATTTCTCTAGACTTCTAGAACTATGAATGCATAATCAATGTGCAGCTCATTGCGGCAATATTTGTCGAATGAGTGGATTCAGCGAGAGGTTTAGGAAGAAATGGCAAGCGATGATTTTTGAAGAGGATTTTGAGGACCAGAAAAGAGGTCGCTTAATGAATCGCTGTAAGTCTTCTCCGTGTGAGAATATTTGCACAACCATCTTCAGTGGCAATTACAAGTGAATGCAAAATTGGTTTTTTCAAAAGACGACTTTTAGAGAAGAATTTTAGAACTATAAAAGAAGTCATTATCAATTTCTTTAGTTTTTAGTTCAGTTTTTCGTTTAGTTTTTCGTTTTATAGTAGAGTTCATGTCTAAATTTCAATTCTATTTGAATTTATTTAATGCCTAAAGGTGGTTAGGCGGCGTGCTGAGTTGAATTTGGAGTGAGAATTTCCGTGGTTCCCGGTAGCTTAGTCGGTAAGAGTGCCCGGCGCGTAACTGGGAGACCCGGGTTCGAATCCCGGCTGGGCGAATCGGAATTTTTTCTCTCTAAATTTCAATTCTATTTGAATTTGTAATCGCTCAAATTTAAGTTTCCAATTTTTTGTTTTCGGATAACTAAATATGGTCCTAAAAAGTCCGAATATGTCATTTTTAGATGATGAAAGGATTTCGAAGAGTAGGAAAGACCTTACTTGATGTACTTCATCAAAGGTAAAGGGTGGTGAGTGAAGAAAACAAGTGGCCCATTGCACAGGTCTAAATCAAGTAAAGTTTTTTTGCCTAAAATTCCATATGCCCTGGTTGAGCATCTAACAGACATCGACTAAATTAAAATAAAATTGGTATAAACTTTCACTGAACATTGATTAAACGTTGACGAAAGCTTGGTTAAATCCTGATTAACCTTCGACTAAATCCCGATTAAACCCTCACTAAACCCTGACTAAACTCTGACTAAATGCTGACTAAACCATGATTAAACCTCAATTAAATGCATTTTAAGGCTATAATTTCAAAGTAAATGATGTAATTGCCACTATCTTCGAAGTCGACCGAGATAACATCCAAACGAATATTTTAAGCCATGATTGAAAAGATTTCAATGATTATTTTTTGAATGATCGTCGAAAAACTAAATTTGAAAAAAAAAAGTTCACATACATACAGACATGATCTAAAAACAGCATATTCGAACGCCCGAGACCAAAATTAGTCATCGTCACACAAAAAAATGGAAATTTCAGACTTGACGAATACAACGCTTCCATTAGGAAAAATAACTGTCTTTACAGGAGATTATTAGCAGATATTTTTGTTGAGCATGAGATCCGTTACAAACCATTACTCTTGACTTTTTCTCTACATCTCTTCCTTTCCAAGTTATACATAAAATTATCCTCACTGATAAAGGAGTCAACGCGAAATTGATGTGCAATTTATTTTGCATATATAATTGAAATAAGCGTACTAGAAAAATATGACCGGAGACCTTTTTTTTACGGCGTAGAATCCTCTAAAAAAAGTGATTCAACATCCTTCTCTAAACGTCTTCCTTTTAAAGGCATCATGAAAATTATCGTAATGATAAAAATTGACGAATGAAAAAAAAAATTCCACCTTATTTTGCGAACATCTCTGAAAGAAGCAGATGTGAATAACATAGAGCACCTGTTCTAGTTCAAAAATTCTCCACAGAAAGGTCTTTTGGAATTCTTCTCCAACCCTTTTTCCTTCTGAGCTATGGGAACTTTCATCACTGAATTATATAATCTGGAGCACAATGGGGAAATATTGACGGTTGAAAAGGATACGTTTCTGGTGGTGTGAGGTATTGAGCGTGGCCTTGGAGAAGAGTACCGTTCAATGAGGCGTCTCTCAATGCATTCCAAGGTTTCCACAATGCTAAATGTAATTCTCGAATACTGACACCCCAGATCGCCTGGATGGAGTACTCCACTTGACTCGACACTTCGCATTCAACTTCTGAAACATAATTTTGAGGATTTCATTAGTTCATTCAGGGGTGAAATGGTGGAATTGTGCGAATCAAATATTGAAAGTTTAGTAATAGGGAACTTGCGTGAATTCTTTTCAATCTTCTCATCTCAAGTTTGAGACCTGAATAATTCACTTTTCATTCACAAAGATTTAACATATCTCTTAAAATATTGCCGGGATCTTTAAAATATTTTTTATTTATTAACAATTAATTGTTAAAAGTTGAAGATTTCAAACTCTTTGAAATCGCTAATGACGTCACATAGACGGTCGAGCGCTAGACCAATCACAGAATGGCTCCGGCCGACCTAACCCAATCTTGATGTGCGCCTCGGCCAATGAAGGACGACAACTCTCTACTCCCTTCCTTTTCCACCAATGAAGCGTTACCTGATCGTCTTCGTGACGTCATGACCGCAAAATTGGCCTCGAAAATGACTGATTTCCAATTAATCATCATAAAACATCTAGGCAATATTTCCCGATAATTTTTGCTGTTCAGCTATCAATATAGTACAAGGAATGTGTGGATAGGGGAATTGGACAGAATTGAGTTTCATATAGGGAACCCTATTATGTTCCCTATTATGGCGTTATGGTCAGACCGAGTGGTTTTGAGTTAGGACTCTTCCTATCGTAAACAAAATATCGCAAAAGTTTTCTTTCTTGACAGAAAAAATTGTATTGGTTAGACATAATTATGAAGCCGTGTGACCGTCACTTTATGCATTATTAGTCTTCTTTATAGTCCAGTCAAATTGATAAGTAGGTGCTATTTTTATTCACCGCGTATGAAAAAATACCCATTCGATAGATAAAATTGTAAAATTGTAAAATTGTTATTTCTCTCTTTACCAATTCCATTGGTAATAAGCTTCCAAAAGCTTGAATAATAAGATCATTGTAAGGTGTTCAGAAACTTAGGGTTAAATGAGGCCCAAATGAAAGCTCTGATGATGAACGACAATAAAAGTAGAAAAGCATTTCACTGGAGAAAAAATAGCCAAAGTACTTGGATATCTTTAGATTACGTTTTATGGCAATGATCAATATATTCTGATGATCGCCTTGAGCTTGTTAGGAAACTAAAAGTTGAGAAAATGCTTCCATGTTTCGATGTAAAGGCCTTTCTCAGTACACTCAACATTAGAACAATTATGGCTATTGATTTATCCTTGAAAAAATTGAAGTAAATGTATGAGATACTGATGTAAATGATCGATTATTCGTTCACTTTTGTAGTTTGATTACCATTCTTCCACAGACAGTAGATCCGTTGGTTTAGAATGCTTAAATAAATTTGACAAAAATGGATCCTGATTTAAGAACTTCTTCACTTAAAATATTAACGTTTTTGGTACTGAATTTTTCCTCCTGAAATCAAACAACCAAATTATTATTCTCAATATCCTATCTTCTAGACCTATGAGTTCCTTGAAATCGGTAATTTGACTCTGGAAACTAGAAACTTTGTCTTCTGTGTGAAGTTGAGAGTTGCATAATTGAGGCCAATTTTGAAGTGATTGTCATAGATTATTGCCTATTGGACTCATTCATTGACTCATAGACTTTGATTACCAAGAAACTAGGACTCGTTTGGCGGCACTCATTTCATTCTCTCGAGCGAATTCATATACAAATGATTTTTAAATCTGTTCGAGATAACGGATCATATTAGAAATGGCACAGAACATACTGGCCGCAGCTCACTCATCGGCGTAACATGAAGTACCGTTTCCACTTGCTCAGACTAAAAATTTTCCCGAATCACTTGAATTAATGACCATTATCACAATTCGATCCTTCTTTCTCGCAGATGACTCGAAGGATGGATAGAATCGTTAGATAAAAAGGCGGTCAATGTTCTTTCTGTAACTCTGCGTTCCTCCAGAGGTCAAGAACCGAGGGAGAAAGAACGTAATGACGGGCAGGCGAGTTTCAGGACATCGAACTTTCCGCCCAGAGGTTCGAAGATTGAAGGCGAAAAGACAAATGTGCTATAAAAAAAAATCTTATATTTTATCAGCTACTCGGATCGAATGAATAAAATCAGACGTATGCGTTTGTATTTTGTTTTGATAAGTTTTCTACCATATATACTGTGAAAAATTAGTTTTATTGACAAAAAAGCTGTGACATATTTCGCCCTTTTGTCTATTGAATATTCATTTCTGTATTTTCTGTATCATTTCGCCTCTTCCGCGTTACTCTTAATGATCCGATATCGGAAATTCAATTCTATTGATTTTTTAAATGATTATTCGGCTAACTTACAAAAAAGCTAGCATACGCATCATGCTAGCATGAATACGCTTTTTTAAAAATGGCATTAACAGAAAAATTTTCAAATGCATATAAAATTAGCTCATAATATCTGCAAATTATCCAATATTGAAAATTCGATTCTGCTACTTTTGCCTGCTAGGTTAACATACGTAATAAAAAATTGTGAACAATGAAATTAAATAGTAAAAAAACCGTAATAACCGACGTTGACCGAATTTCGATAGAACTCTTGACAGAAATTGAAAAATTAAATTTGAAAACTAGATGTCAGAAAAGTTGCGCGAGCTCTAGATTTGATCTTGGGGTTCTGCATAGTTGTATTACAGCTAAACCTAACTAAACAAATAAAAAGAAAAAGAATAGATCTTTCAAGATTTCGTTAGAAAGGCCTTCCAATCTTGAAAATCTAGAAAATTTCAAAAACCTAGAATCGTATCGTTACCCCCCTGGTAACTTGTACTAATTTGGGTCTACTTCGTCACCCATGATTCATGCACTGTTTACTCACCGAAGATCGTAACAACACTGACGTGTCAATTCCTTCACTATCACGATGAAACTGCGAAGAATGTACTCTGTATAATTTAGTGACAACCCCGAAAGGAAGGATTCCGTCTCGGAGTATTCGAAATTTGGGATATGTGTAGTCGCTTAAGGTACTCTGAATTCAAACCAGAGCAGGAAGGATTCAGAATTTCAAACAAGGCTCAGGTCCGATCGATTGGATCCTCGAATGATCAAGAATTTTCTGCCTCACTCTATCAAGGTTGAAGTCAGATGTTTCGGATCCGAAGTGGACCGGGGATATTGAGTCCAATTTTATCAGCTTTGACTGATCAGGATAGGATCCAAAGTGATTGAGCCATACCAGATCCAGATAACCTGTTCAGAAACTGACTAGGTCCTTACCCGGGAATTCTGATCAGAAAATCCTGACCAGTATTAGATCTAATTTAGACCCAGACAACCTGAGCGAAATTTTCACTCGGGACGTTTCGTAATCTTAGTACCGGAATGGGTTAACTACTCACAAACTACTTCAAGTGTGAAGCATCTTCATTCAGAAAACTGACGCAATTATCGTTTTCCAAGGAACGACATCACACTTTTCTCCAGAAGGAAGACAAAAGCTGCATCATCGCACTTAAACAATCTTCCATGACTTGTATCCATTCTAAGATCGTTAATCCAATAAAATATATTTGTTTTTCCTATTCAAAAAACCACATAACATTCATCAAACATCATGAGACTCCATAAACCTTGCTGATATTCCATCCTTATCAAATGTCATTTATTCAACCACAAGTCTCTTTAGAAGACCAAATCAAAGATCTCTTACAATTCTCCCTGTAGATTCAAGAAATAATTTAAGTTTCCACTTCACGTTATCGTTAAGCATGCAATTGTTGGAATAGTAGTGGGAGAGTGAGAACTAGAAGCAAGAGGGGAGCATTCACGTCAACTCGGACGAAAGTGAAAGCTGAAGCCGGACCACCTCAACTGACTTGCTGTCGACCAAGATGCCTAGCATTTCTGTCTCACTCTCCTCTTCTATTCCATCCTGTTGCTACATCGCAGATACCATCCACGTCATCTCGACAAATAATGCACGAGAACAATTAACCTGTGACTTATTTCATCCTCCGGAGTGGTACTCGTATCAGTAATAGAGGTCTCTGACCTTCAATTGCACTCACAATCCCATTTCAGACGATCTATTCAAATGCAGAACTTAATTTTTTTATTCAAATCCATCGAACTGAGACAATGACAATTCTCCCATGTCTATCTTGATTTATTTGTGTTCTGTCTTTCGCATCGATAGACGAGTGGCAATTTCGGAATGTAGGACGCCGGGTGTCTCGACATTGCTAACTTTTTCCAAGTTGTATTACCAGCATGGCGTAACACACATGCCGGTACAACCCCGGGGATTATAACATTTATAAACTTTTAAAGTTTTTTTCTTTATTTATTCCAGTCTCTTTTCATTCCCTTCACCCTCGCATTTGCGTGACACCAGTGGCATTGAGGCTGAACTTCGATCGCATGGAGAAGTGGTAATGATACCGTCCATTGAAATGTTAATTGAAATATTTGAATGGAAATTGGTTGTGAAGTTTCGTCTCCATGTCAACCGTGAAATCTCATGACTAATCATTTCATACGGTAATGATCTTAGAAGAACATGTCATAGGAGCTTTCTTGAAAGCAACCCTTTGATAATTTTAATAGGATGCATTATTCAAGAGATAATTATGTAATGATAATTAAAACTAGTTGGAGCGTTTTTTTTCCGAAAAAGTCTTACATTTTTTGGCTAGGCTGAATCATTCCGGGTGTGAATCCATAATTGCGAAGACAGGCTTTATCAACTGATATTGACTGGCCAAAGTATGGAGACAGCATCTGCAATTTCACGGAATGTGAATGAGGCAAACTAAGTTTAACTAGAAACTTTGACCCAACGAGAGAACCACGAGACCAACAACTCTGGAGATTGCAGTGAAAGGTAGTGAGGAGTGAGCACACCCGTCCGATACATGAGTTTGTATCAGAACAAAAAGACCTCAGACGTTTTCGCTCCTCACAATTCTTGTCTGGAAACGTAACGGCTCAGCAAAATTCTACTCACTGGATTATCAAATCTGTTGCATAATTCCCCTGCAGCGGGTTCTAGTGGACAACGAGTGCTG